GTGAATGGGGCGGCATAGACATTTTCTAAATAAATAAATAAAGGACCCAGCATGGATGGGCCCAAAGGCACTGGCGGGAATGGGGAAAGTGGCCATTTAGGACAGACCCCCCCCCCCCCCCCATTGCCAGCCCTTGCCCTGCTTATTTCCCGCTGAAGTTAGGAAACGTCTTGAGGAGAAGGCAACCAATGGGTGTATGTCACCTCCAGTGTCAGAGGTGGTGTGCCCATGTGCACCAGTTGCTGGGGAGCATGGGTAGGAGGGTACTAGGGCACTCCTGTCCTGCTTGTGGGATCCTGGGGGCGGCTGACTGGCCACAGAATGCTGGGCTGGAGGGGCCCCGGACTCACCCAGCACAATGCTTGAGCTCTTCTCAAAAGCGCACACTTAAAATGCCCCTCCGCTGACCCAGCAGGGCTCGGCTTGCGCTCAGACGGTCCAGGAGCCACGGTGATGAAGCAAAGTGCTGGAGACCCGGGTTCTCATACCCTTCCGGCCAGCCACTGCCTCTCAGCCTAACGTACCTCCCAGGGTTGTTGTTGGGGGGACAGAATGGAGAGGAGGTGGGTGGCGTACATTGCCTGGGAGGACAAGCAGGTGAGAAATGCAGCGCTAAATAAATCCTCCCATTCTGGGCGGCATGGGAGGATCCTGACACAATCTCAGAGGCCCAGATATAAGGTTTATCACACTGCATTTATATCCTGCCTTTTGCAGTTCAGGAGGCCCCAAAGGCATCTTCCATAGCTGCATTTTATCCTAACAACACGAATCCTGTGAGCGTTAAATGTCTTGAACAGAAAGTGAAGGAGAGGGATCCACTTGGCTGCAGGTCCCCTTAGCGGGGGATGAAGAACTGCGGAGGCCCTTGGGTGTAGCAGGAAATTGTCAAGAGGAGCGAGCGTCACAGCGTGTGCTCAGAAGTGGGGTGTGGGTCAGTTCACTGGAATGCTGCTGCCCCAGGACCCAAGCGGAGCAGATCTGGGCACAGGGCTCAGTAAACAAGGCTCTGCAAGCTGGAGGCCGCCTCACCCTCCTGGCCAGGCCGAGAGGAAAGGGGGCAGAGCTGGAAAGGGGAAGAAAGCACGCCTCCCTACAGTGGGAAGCCATCTTCCAGCGCTTTGCAAGGCGGGGTGGTTCTGCCCAATCCCGCCTCCCAGGTAATCTGAGCACAAAATATTTCTGTCCCGGTAGGTGCTGGTCAGCTGCAAGGCAACTGAAGTGCTGTATGCATGTATGTATTTTAAGTTTTTATATGCTGTCCCCTCGCTACATAGCCTCGGGACAGCTCCCAGCAATAAATAAATAAATAAAATACAATTACAAATTAGAATTAAAACTTGGAGACATATTGGCTGCACAATTAAAAACTATAAATATTAAAGATTATTAAAATACTGTTTGAATAAAAGGGTCTTGGCCTGGCGCCGAAAAACAAATAACGACGGCGCCAGGCGGACCTCTCTGGGGAGTGCATTCCACAGACAGGGCGCCATCGCAGAGAAGGCCCTCCTCCGGGTACTTTGCCTCCTGATGTCTCTCCCGGAGGGCTCCCGGAGGAGGGCCTCTGCCGCCGATCTCAAGGGGCGGGAGGGCAAATATGGAAGCAGGCGTTCCTTCAGGTATCCGGGTCCCAAGCCATTAAGGGCTTTATAAGTAATTACCAACACCTTGAACTGAGCCCGGACTTCAATGGGAAGCCAGTGAAGCTGGTAGAGGACTGGGGTTATGTGAGAGTAACGCCCAGTCCCCGTCAGCAACCTGGCAGCTGTTTTTTGCGCCATCTGAAGTATCCGGACTGTCTTCAAGGGCAGCCCCACTTAGAGCGCGTTACAGAAATCCAACCGGGAAGTAACCAATACGTGCGCCACTGTCGCTAGGCAGCCATCCTCCAGGTAGGGACGCAGCTGATGGATCAGCTGAAGCTGATGGAAAGAGCTCAAAAGCTGATTTGAGCTTCCAAAGTCAGCTCCGAGTCAAGGAGCACTCCCAAGCTGCAGGCCCTGTCCTTTAGAGGGAGTGCAACCCCATTCAGGACGAGGCTCAGGCCCCCCATGCCGAAGCCCAACTCACCCACCAGCAGGACCTCCGTCTTGTCTGGATTGAGCTTCAGTTTATTGGCCCTCATCCAGCCCATTACCTCGGCCAGGCACCGGTTCAGTCCAGCCACTGCCTCACCTGGATTGGTGGAGAACGAGAGGTAGAGCTGGGTATCATCAGCATACTGATGATTCCGCAGCCCACACCTCCTGATGACCTCTCCCAGCGGTTTCATGTAGATGTTGAACAGCAGAGGGGACAAAATGGACCCCTGCGGTACTCCATGGCATAGCTGCCATGGCGCAGAGCCAAAGTCCCCCAGCACCACCTTCTGGAATCGGCCGTCAAGGTAGGAGCGGAACCACTGCCAAGCAGTGCCTCCTACTCCCAGCCCCCCTTCGCCTATCCAGAAGGATACCATGGTCGATGGTATCGAAAGCTGCTGAGAGGTCCAGGAGGACCAACAGGGACGCCCTCCCCCTGTCTCTCTCCCTGCAAAGGTCATCATACAGGGCGACCAAGGCAGATTCAGTACCAAACAAGGGTCTGAAGCCGGACTGAAATGGGTCCAGATAATCAGTTTCATCCAAGAGTGCTTGGAGTTGTCCCGCCTCCACCTGCTCTAGCATCTTGCCCAGAAACGGGATGTTGGCCACCGGTCTATAATTGGTGGCCATCGCTGGATCCAGGGTCGCCTTCTTTAGGACAGGCCTGACCACCGCCTCCTTTAGAGGGGCAGGTATCCGGCCGTCCCTGAGAGGCGTTGATGACCTCCAGGATCCAGGCACCAATCCCGTGTTTGGCTTTGGTCAGCAGCCACTACGGGCAAGGGTCCAGTAAACAGGTGGTGGGACGTACTTGTCCAAGCACCTTGTCCATGTCATCAGGCCACAATAACTGAAACTCATCCATCAATGTCGGACCAGACGGCAACATTGGCTCCTCCCCTGAAGGCTCTGGGTCACCAGTGGAGTCCAGCTCGTGACGAATCAGAGCGACTTTCTCCTTGAAGTGCTGGGCAAAGTCGTCACAGCGGGTTATCGAGGGCGGTACATGATCTTTCTTAGAGCCTGGATGTACAGCCCCTGTACCACCCGAAAAAGCTCCACTGGACGGCATTGTGAGGAGGCAATGGAAGTGGAGAAGAATTTCTTCTTCGCCACCCTCACTGCCAGAGCATAGGCCCGATAATGGGCTCTTAAGTGTGTTCGGTCAGATTCATCCCGTGATTTCCTCCACCTACGCTCTAGCCGTCTCCCAACCCACTTCATCGCCCATAATTCAGGTGTGTACCAAGGGGATGAACGGGCTCTGCCCGGCAGGAGAGGACGCTTGGGAGTGATTGTGTCAATAGCGTGTGTCCACGTTCATGGGTCGGGCCTATGACATGTTGGGACAGCCCCATGGCCGTCATGGAGGCCATCAAATCCTGAGCTGCCCCGGTCAGAACCGTCTCGGCATGGAGACTGAAGTCCCCCAGGACCAACATCCTGGGGGTCCTCAACACCAGGTCTGAGACGATCTCCGTCAGCTCAGTCAGGGAGTCTGTTGGGCAGAAGGGTGCACGGTACACCAACAGAATCCTCAGTCTGTCTCGGTCGCCCAACGCCAAGTAGAGGCACTCTAGACCCGGCCTCGAGAGGACAGGAAGCCCCGCAAGGGAAAGAGAGGCTTGATGAACTAAGAAGCGAAACCTCTGGCCCATGAGCCATCCGGCCCGTGGAGTCTCTGTGCCTCTCTGATCCTGGATTGCAGGGGAGGTCTGTGTGGCAGAGATGGCGCTGGGCGGAGCCGCTCCTTGGGCTGGCAAGGTCTGTCTGCGCACCGTGCCCCACTGCCCTGGGGGCAAGATGTAGCACGCAAAACCCCCACAGCGGGCCCGTGCTGCCCCTTTCCCATAGGGAAGGACACTGTAGGTGTGGTCCGGAAGCTTTCCTCCAGTGGGGGAGGGGGCATCTCCCCTGAGCCCCAACTGGGATGCCAGCTGGGGCATCTTCCCAGCGCATCAGCCCCAAGACAGATCATGCTGAGGTCGGAGGTTCCCCCCCTGACCTCGTGGAGGGCTGGGAAGAAGGGCGTCTGACCCCCACCCTAATTCAGTTCCCGCCCTTGGCGTAGCGGCTAGGAGTCGGGCTTGGCTCAGAAAGCCCTGGGTTCAAATCACAACCTGCCGTGCCTTTGCTTGGGGACTTCAGGCAAACCGCGTCTTCTAAGCCCCCCAGCCCAGCCCGGGTCCCCCTGGAACAGATGCAAATAGGGTTGCTGGAAGGACTGCACCCAGACTTCCGACCCCGGCAGCGGCAATGCAAAGCTGAGGTGCCGCCCTGGCAGGGCAGTCGCTGGGATCGGGCCCAGGCGGCTTCCTAGGAGAACCGACGGAATATTCGCCCAGCATTGGAGGAGGAGGAGGCTGCCGGAGGAGGAAGACACTGCAGCCCCCTTTGTTATCCCAGATGCGTGCTGCGAGGGAGGGGGGTGGGGATGTGCTCGGCACATGCTCAGGGTGCCTCGCACCCTTCTCCATGCCCATGCTGCAGATTGATTTAACAAGCCGGCCACGACCATCCTGGCCCCCGGACCTTTTCTGTCTTCCTGCGAGCTGTCACTTGGGTCCCTTCGGGAAGTGGCCGAGCTGCGCTCTCCGGTTGCTCTCACCACCAGCCCGTTGCTCCCCGCTCCCCCCCCCCCCGCCGCTTTCTCTCGCCGCCCTCGCACCGCCGCCTCCTTCTCGGCTTCCACTCGGGGAAGCTTCCTGCTTCCCACAACCTGAGCCAGGCTCCAATCACCGCAATCCACCCGCTCCCCAGTTCTGCCGGAGGGGGGCTGGCTGCGCGTGTGGAAACCGAGGAGGAGGAGGAGGAGGAGAAAAGCAGTCCCCGCCCGCCTCTCCGCTGGCGGGAGGCCGCGAAGCGCCGCGCCGCCCAGCCCTCTTTCTCCCCGCGCCCCTACCAGAGCGGGGCAAAGCGCCTGGACGCGCCGGGCCGCGCTGCGCACTTTGGAGACGCTCCCCGCGCCGCGGCGAGGCGAGGCGAGGCAGGCGAGGCGAGCGCGGCTCCGCGGCGGCCGCCTTGGAGAGGCACCCGGGCGAGCTCGCCGCAGCCGCAGCCGCAGCCGGAGCCGGAGGGTGGCAGCGCATGCACCGGACCGGGCGGGGCGCGGAGGTGAGAGGCCGGGCGGCGATCCGCCCGCGGGCTGCGTGCCCCGCTCCGCCGCCGCCGCCGGGGCCATTGCAGGAGGCAGCGGCGGGCGCCTGTGCGCCCAGCGCCGCGTGCGGCTGCAGGGCCAGCCGGGAAGAAGCCGACGGGACCGCGGCCGTTGCCCCGAGCGCCGCCTCGCCCCAGGTGCCCACCGGGGAGGCGGAGGAGGCGGCCGGGAAGGGGAAGCCCTTCCCGCGGCGCGGAGGTGAGAGGCGCCGTCTCCTCGCTCGCTGCCCTCGCAAACTTTCCGATCCCTTTCTCTGCCTGTGCTCCCTCTTGAGGAGCAACGCGCGGGGGGAGAGAGGACCGCTGGCTTCCAGGTACGGACTCGCCATGACACCCCCCCGCCCCCCGCAAAAGGAGAGAAAGGGGCTTGAGAAAGTGCGCTTGAGCGCAAGGCGATGCGCGCGCGGTGGAGGTTTGGGGGCGAGGCAGAGGGGGCGCGTTTCTCTCCTTCCAGGTTGCAGCTTGCCAGAACTAGCCCTGGCCTTTCTGCCGGGGGGCGGGGGCGGTGCGTGGGACAGGCACGCAGGAAGGTGAAGGTGAGCGTTACAAAGTTGCCGGGCTTATCCTTGCTTAGATTGCGCTTCTCGTGCGCACCTGGAAGAGAGAGCGCGCTTTTGAATGCACTTTCAGACCCTCGGTGGATTTGCGATGTTTCTTTTCTGCTCTGACTTTGGGATTTAATGTTAAACACGCACGTTGGATACCCGAGCATATTAACTCCCGTCTTCTGCTTTTCGAGGGCTGTAATTTTAATCCTCCATTTCTGCAGCGGAGAGGAGAGGGCAGGGAAGCCTTCGCTTGGAAACTTTAGCGTCGGTTTCCTGAGAAATTGAGAAATTGCGGTCGAGTTAGCAGATCGCGAAGGAGGGATACTGCATGCAGGCCGGTTTGGTTCGGGGAGACCGGTGTGCGTGTTTTCCCTTCCTGCGGTAAAAGACCTCCTTTCTTTGCTAGGACTTTGCAAAAGTTCTGGGTTTAACAAAGAGGATGCAGTCAAAGCAAGGGCTTTCTGGCCAGCTGAGCAAGAAACAGGAAAGAGCACATTTTAGAAGGAAGGCGTGTTTGCACGCCGCCAATGCACAGCGAACAAATAAATCAATTCAACGTCTTGGGCCTTAATATTTGTACACCTATGATCGGTACACCTATTCAGTTCATTTCATTGAATTAAATGCCCTCGAGTTTTTCTTGCAAAGTTCCCAAGGCAGCTTATGCAATCTTCCTCTTCATCTGATTTTCCGTTTAAAGCGTACAGTTGGAAAATGTGAAGAAACAGTGGGGACAGAGGTGTGCAAATTGTAGACCTGTGAACCAGCCTTGCAACTGTCGGTGACATCCAGCAGCGAATTGCATGTGTGCATGGTGGGTCATCACAGAAATGCTGTTCCAGAAATGGGGAGGGATGTTTGCACTCGGCCGGGGAGTCAAGGAGTCATAGAATCGTAGGGTCGGAAGGGACCGAGGAGGCCACTGGGCCCACCTTCCTGCTGGTACCGGACACCAGTTACACCATCCCACTCAGATGGCTGTCCAGTTTCACCTCTAGAGTGGGAGAACCCATGACTTCGGCAGGGAACTGTTTCACTGCCGTATTGCTCTGAGTTAGGACGTTTTTCTGGTGTGCTGAATGTGAATCGGCACTGAATCTGGTGTGCTGCAGTTTAAGATCATTGTCACACACTTGGGGATGAGCGAGAAGAGATCTTGACCTTCCTCTTTGTGGCAGCCTTGGAGGTCTTCTCTTCTCGAGGCTGAACTTGCCCAGCTCTCTCAGTCTCTCACCGTAGGGCTTCGTTTCCAGACCTTGGATCATCCTTGTTGCCCTCTTCTGAACCCTTTCTCTTTGTCTGCATCTTTTAAAAACCTGGGTGCCCAGAAATGAACACAATATTCAGTTCAGTGAGGTCTGTAGTGAAGAGTAAAGGGGAGCCAAGACCTTCTCTTGTCCTGGAGATGCTTCAGTCGGTGCATCCCAAAATAGTGTTTGCCCTTGTTGTGGCTGCATCACTTCGCTGGCTCATTTAGCTCGCCCACAACTCCTTTTTGCGTTTCTTTTTCAGTGCTGTTTAGCCAAATAGTCCCCATCTTGAATCGATTCATTTTGCTTAGGTGGAGAACTTGGCACTTGTCCCTGTTGAATCTCATTCTGTTGCTTTCTGCCCAGCATCCTAGAAGAGCTAAGTCACCCTGGAACTTTTGGTCTTCCAATGTGGCAGCCATTGCACCCACAAATTTAACCAAGGCATGAAGGCCTGGCATGCAGAGGGGGCAGAATGAGGTGCAACCGGGTGGAAGCCCACACTTTTGAGTGTTCCATTTAACAGATTCCGTGCAAATAGAGATGTGAAGGCCTAGGTGAGGAAAACAGGAAAAAACGTTGATTTTTTTTGCTCTTGATTGCCCTTTTTCCTGAGATGGTCAGAACAATTCTGGAGGGGAAAAAAACCAGATTATATCTGAGGGTTCTTTTTCTCAGCCTTTGCCTCTCTAACCATAAGAAGGAGCAAGCTGCGCTGCCTCCTTTTCTTCTAATGCAGTGTGATTAAAGTACAGCCCCCCTAAAGTACAGTAGGGGGCTGTACTTTAATCCCCCCAGTGTAATTCCTGGGGGGGGGAATTAAAGTATTTTTATTATTATTACATTTTTATACTGCCCATAGCCAAAGCTCTCTAGGCAGTTGACAGCAATAATCATAGAATCATACACTCAAGTCACCCATCCCACTTCTGCCCAGGCCTGACCCTGCTTAGCTTCCAAGATTAGGCAGGATCAGGCACTTCAGGCTACATGGAAAGTACAGCCTCCTACCTGCCACTAAAGCACACCTTGCCACTTGGTAGTTGCGTAGCATCCGCTCAGTTCCCAGGGGTGCACAACAGCTCCTCAGCCCCCATGTAACGATGGGGTGGGGATTGCGGGGGACACAGGCAATTTCCATGTTGGCCTACAGGTGGCGTCCAGGGACAGGGCCTTCTGGGTGGTGTCCCCCTCCCCACCCCAGTGAATGCCCTTCCTAGCAAAATCTCTAGCGGACACAATCCTATGCAGAAATAGAATGCCGTCATCATCCTTTCTGCCTAACATTTCCATCGGAAGAACTTCAAATTCCAAGTTAAGCCCTTCCTTCCTTGAGCAGACACTTAACTTTTATCCAGTGTTTTTTTAAATGTTACTCCTGCCCCCGCTGTGCTTTTATTTTAAAAAATGTTTTAATTCCTGAATGCTGTAATATTTCGACACATGCATTGTTGCATAATCCTAGTAATTTTTCTGACAGTTAGGTTGCTCTTGTGTGGTCTTCTGATCCTCAACTGTTCCAAGGGCATTTTCTAGTCACGCAATAGACAAATCTAAATAATAATACTAGCAGTAATTGTGTACACACTTGGGATGTGATACCAGTTCCTTTTTTCTAACTTGGAAAGGAACAGTCCCTTGGAGCATCAAGGGAAGGGGGGATCACATCAGCCTTGGGGACCTCAATAAAAACCCTATGGAAGGATTTGTCCCCCAAAGCACAGATTTTGCAGCATTGAACAGCAGCGTTCTGCATGGGGCTCGCTTTCTGACCGTACCCAGGAAACTGGGATTCGACTCCAGAGCCTTTGGGCAATCACAGAAGTCTTTCTAGTGCCCTGTTCTGGTGGGGGTGAAATGAAGTGAGGTAGAAGGCATGTGGGAACCAGCCCACCCTCGTTAGACTCCTCATTGATTATAATTGCTGTGATAAGTCAACGTGGGATGTATGTGCGAGGGAGGGAGAAGGAAGGAAATGGCTCTAATTTTCCCTAGCAAAAGGTCTGCCTATATTTTGCTTTCTCTCTCTCTCTCTCTCTCTCTCTCTCTCTCTCCTGCTTTCCTTTCTCCTCTTTATGGCTTGTAATTCTGTGCATGGGTGTTTGCCATTTCCGCGGTTGCAAGCCACCCGAGCCAATACCCCCCTTCCGTGCCCAGTCTTTGGGCTTGAGCATGCCCCCTTCTCTGTTTTAGTCCCCCCCCTTCACCCCATGCACCACCTCCTCTTTCTGCCCCCCTTCACCTTTCCCCCTTCTGCCCCCTCTTTCTAATCCTCTCCTCCCAGCTGGGCAAAGCCCTCCAGGAAAAGGTATGTAAGAACAGAGGCCTGTTTCTGGGATCTGCTCTTAAAGACTTCCCTGTTTAGTCCTGATGGGATTAAAGGGGATCCAGAAAAGGGTTGGGAAATTCCCGGCTACAGGGACAAATCTTGCAAGAGGTTAAAAGGCTACTCGGGGAGGAGTTCAGGCATGTCGGTTACCTTGTCTGAAGGGAGGCAGTAAAAGAGAGTCCCTGCAAGGGTTTTGATGCAGCATTTCAGTTCAGCTAGTGATGTGCAGGTCTTATTAAACTGTCAGGCATCCTTCACCATCCTCTGCTCAGAATTTCGTCCTGCTTGCACTCGTTCGCATTACATCGGCACTGCTCCTCACATCCGTAGGACCCACACAACTCCCCCCCCCCCGTGGGTTTCTGTGACATTCCTAGCTGCAACACTCATCCTCCCCAGCCAGCCAGTGGAGAGCAACAGAATGGGAAAGCCTGCCCTAGATTTTAAGATACTCTGTCCTCGGTGTAAATACAGGTCATAACGTACATGGAACTTTATATAGCACAAGAGTCTGTTTCCTGATGCACCAAGAGTCTGTTTCCTGGTGTTTGGGATTTCAACTCCCAACTTCTGGGAGTTGAAGTCCCAAACATCTGGAAATCTACCCTCTCCCTTACAGTATTAGCTAGATAACATAGGCAGCTCCCTGTACTTAAAGAGCGTACAATCCAAAAAAGCACAACAGGGAAGAGGGAGGGACGGACACAGGTAGGGAAGATCGGTAGGGAGCAAATGCAATATTCACATTTCCAAAAGCAGCTGCTTAGACCTCTTCACGTGCTCTCCAGCAGCTTGAGAAGGTGATGGCCACCCCCCCCCCGACTACACACA